GCATATCTAAAGCGTCGAACATCCACATAAATTGAATCTCAATTCACAAACAACCATTTGATATCATGCACACAATATATAATTCATTCATGATATTTTCAATATTTCAATAATCAACATTCATATTCAATATTCAACAATATCCTTAACTAAGCTTAGTCTAAGGCCAATCTTTTGATGCTTACCAACTCTTAAACTATTTCTAGTTCAAGGTACTTCTAACCAACTCTTAAGCTAGGTCATTAGTTTAAGGTACATATTCCGATTGATTTACCAACTCTTAAACTAGCCTTCGCTTAAGGTACAAATCCAAAAAAAACCGAACAGTAGAATACTAACTGTCGGGTTGGGTGGTATCCCCAAACGAGTTCCTCTAGTTTGGTTTATGGATCCCGTACGTACGTTTTTACCCAAGGCCACCGAATATACATATTTATACCCGCAAGGCCCAATCTAATTTGAGGTCTACCTTAGAGGTCTTCGAGATAGCCTTAACAACACATCGATTTCGTGATCATCATTATATTCAATTTTAATAATGATTTAATCATTAATAATAATCCTAATCAGTAAGTTTATCATTCATAATCATCCATAATAATTATTTATCATAAAGATCATTAAACACAACGTTTAATAACAAATAGCGGTCTAGTCTCGAGTGTTAACACCCGAACTTACCGTCATGCATCACATAATGTTTTAATTTGTTAAAAACATCATTTTTATTGTGAAAAATCATTTTTATAATAATCATAATCAATTGGTATCAAAAATAGGATTTTAGAGCTCAAAAGTAGCAATTTCAGACAAATTTTTGGACCAGAGTTTCGGAGGATCGATCAAGGCAGTGTGATCGATCAGGGCAGTGTGACTAATCAGGGCAGTGTGATCGATCCAGACACTGTGATTGATCAGGGCAGTGTGATCGATCCAGCCAGTGTGATCGATCCAGGCAGTGTAGTTTCAGGTTACTGTTCATCTTCTTCAACCTTGCGACCCCAATTCCGAAAATTCCGTTTTTGGTTTGCAAAATTCAATTAAACTATATAGAGATGTTCTCCAAGGTTCATAGATCATATTAGAATTATTAAAACATATTTTTAACATCAAATTCAAAGTTTATGATTCTTGGTTCTTCAAACATGTCAAACACAAAACTCAACCAAACGACCGTTTATGAACGTAGAAACGATCTATACGAACATTCTAGTCACTAGATATATCAACGGGCTTACCTTGAAGCTTAATGGAGGTTTTGAAGATTTTCCGGCGAAACTTCCGGCGAGGATTGTGGCTAGCTCCGGCGACCTCACACAAAGATGACAGCACCGCTGCGTTCTACACACTCAAAGCTAACTCTCAGAAGTAATTTGGGAAGAAATGGTGAAGAATTTCGTAGGAAGAGGTGGTCCTTATATAGCCTTAGTGAAGAGGAAGCAGACACGGTGATGATCTCCTTTCGACTGTTTCGGCGGCTGAGTGGAGTGGGCTGCTATCTTCTCCGATCTAAACGTAAGTCCCAGATTGGGACTAAATTGGTCCCAGTCGGGAACATTTTTTTGGTCCAACTTTCTCCGAATTGAACTCCAATTGAACCGTTGTGATCGTACAATTAAACTCTATCCAATGATATGACTTTTATATTTATTCGTTATACTTTTTCTGACATCATATTTGTGGGTGGTTGACTTTGACAGAGTCAAAATTAATTTGTTTGACCTTTACTCAAAAAGGTGCTCATATTCAATTCATATTTATTTCAACAAATCATTTCAAAGTTCACATTATAAAACGATTTCTTTATTTATTCTTAATTTGGGCCTCTATATAGGTTTCAATCAAGATCACACAAATAGTCAACTAATTGGATTTATCCTGATTGTGATATTGGATATCAAAACACATTTTATTTCGGATCAAGGCCCAATAACAATTTATTTTAATCAAAACATTTTTTGTTTAATTGGATATTTAATTCAATAAATTTTAGGGTATATTTTGGGGCGTTATAGGACCTACCACTTCTTTGATGATGAAAGGACCTTCGTAATTCTTGGCAAATTTTACACCTTCTAGGGGGCGGCTTACGGACCTCTTGCGCAGCACCCAGTCTCCTTCGATGAACCCCCGTGCGTGCACACGCCCGTCATGGTAGCTCTTCACCTTCCTTCGGTAATTCTCTGCCCGTATGAATGCCGCTTCTCGCCTCTCGTGTACGAGATGGAGCTCGGCTACCAGGGCTTCTTCGTTACGCTCAGGGTCGAAGACCTCCTCCCGGTGAGTTGCGATGGAGATCTCTGCAGGGGCCCTTGCCTCGAATCCGTAGCACAAGGCGAAGGGGGTTTTCCCGGTTGCCCTCCTAGGCGTAGTCCGGTAGGTCCATAGGATATAAGGCAACTCCTCTGCCCACTCTCCTCCGCAGGCCTCCAACTTTCGCTTCAGCCCGTCGACTATCGTTCGGTTGGCATTCTCGACCTGTCCGTTCGTTTGAGGCACCGACGCATAGGTGTGCTTGATCCCCCAACTCTCGAGGAAGGCATTGAAGGGCTTGGACTCGAATTGTGTCCCATTGTCTGTGATTATGTGCTCGAGAACGCCGAAGCGACAGATGACTTGCTTTGCGAGAAACTTCTGGCATTGAGCTCTGGTGATGCTTGCCAATGGGGCTGCTTCCACCCACTTAGGGAAATAGTCAATGGCTACGATGACGTACCTCACGTTCCCGGTGCCCCTAGGGAGTGCACCCACGAGATCCAACCCCCATCGCGCGAACGGGATGGCTGTGCTGATCGGGGTGTAGTTGGTTGAAGGCATCCCCGGTACCTTCTGGAACTCTTGGCACACTTTACACTTCTTTACGAACTCCGCGCAATCCTTAACAATTGTTGGCCAAAAATATCCTTGAAGGGTTATCTTCCTTGACACCGCGTATGCTCCTTGGTGGGCGGAGCAGATTCTGGCGTGCACCTCCCCCAAGACTTGTTTCGCTTCGGCCGGTCGGAGGCACTTGAGTAGCGTCCCGTTGTATGCTCGCTTGTATAGCTTCTCGCCTTCCAAGGTATACCCCGGTGCCCTTGTCCGGACCAACTTGGCCTTCATCGACTCGTTTGGGAGGGTGCCATCCTTCAGGAAGGCTACTATGTCGTCCGTCCAATTTCTTGGCTGAGCACAGATCATTGCCACGGGGAAGGCATGGATGCTCGGCTCGGACAGCTCTTCCACATTCGCCATTCGCCTGATGTGCTCGGGCGTGTCTGAGCTCAGCTTCGACAAGATATCCGCCTCGACGTTCTCCGCCTGAGGGATCTGCTCGACACTATACGCGGTGAAGCTTTTAAGTAGTTCTAGAGCCGTATCTCTGTATTTCTTCATTCTTTCGTCCTTCGCCTCGAACTCTCCCGACACATGGCCAACAACCAACTTCGAATCACACTTTATCCTTAGCTTTGTCGCGTTCATCCCGGCTGCCAGACGTAACCCGCACAAGAGCGCTTCATATTCCGCCTCATTATTTGATGCCTTGAAGCCGAATCGGACTGAGTAATATGCTCTGAAGCCTTCGGGAGCGATGACTACCACTCCACCCCCCGAGTTTTTGGCGGCGGAGGAGCTGTCGGTAAAAACTGTCCACCAATCGTTGATTTCAAGTTCCGCGCTCGGCTCTTCTCGAGCGGTGCATTCTACCACGAAGTCAGCCAGCGCTTGGCCTTTGATTGCTGGCCTTGGCTTGAACTCGATCAGGAAGGCTCCAAGGAACACCGCCCACTTGGACATGCGAGAGGGCGCGTTCGGACTCCTGAGCAACGCACCTATGGGCTGCTGGGAGAGCACTTGAACCGGGTGAGCTTGGAAGTAGGGCGTCAACCGCTGCACGGTCAAAACCACGGCCAGCACTGTCTTTTCGGCCACCGAGTACCTGAGCTCGGCACCCCTCAGCGTCTTCGCCGTGTAGTACACTGGGTGCTTAGCTCCGCCTTCTTCTCGGACTAGGACCGAGCTTAGTGCCTTGGGCGACACTCCCAAATAAAGATACAAGGTCTCTCCGGGCTCGGGCTTAGCGAGGACCGGCGCAGAGAGGAGATAAGATTTCAGGGATTCAAAGGATTGCTGGCAGTCTTCCGTCCATACGAATCCTCGAGATTTCTTCACGGCTTGGAAGAAGGGAGCGGCTCGGTCCGCCACTTTGGAGAGGAAGCGGCTGAGCGCCGCTAACTTTCCGGTCAAGCGCTGCACCTCCTTGACATTTCGCGGGGCCTCCATGTCAAGGATGGCGCGCACCTTCTCGGGGTTTGGCTCGATACCGCGCCTGCTCACCATGTGTCCCAAGAACTTACCGCCTTGAACGTTGAACGTGCACTTCTTCGGGTTCAGCCGAAGGTTGTACTTCTCCATAATCTTGAAAACTCCTTCTAAGTCTTCCGCATGGGTGGTTGCCTGCTTGCTCTTCACAATCATGTCGTCGACGTACGCTTCCATGCTCTTCCCGAGGACGGGCACGAAGAGCTTGCTCACCATCCTAGCGTAGGTTGCCCCGGCGTTCTTGAGTCCAAAAGGCATCACCTTGTAACAATAAACTCCACCGGGGGTAGTGAAAGACGTCTTCTCTTCGTCTTTAGGGTGCATTCGGATTTGGTGGTACCCGCTGAAGGCGTCCATGAAACTCATGAGCTCGCAACCCGCCGTCTCATCCACTAGCTGGTCGATGTTCGGGAGTGGGAATGGATCCATGGGGCATGCCTTATTTAGGTCGGTGTAGTCCACACACATCCTCCAGGTGTTTCCCTTCGGAGCCAACACTACGTTCGCCATCCATTCTGGGTACTTGACTTCTCTGATATGCCCAATGCTCTGGAGGGTGGTCACTTCCTTGGAGACAAACTCCCTCCGCTCGGACGAGAGGAAACGCTTCTTCTGCTTCACCGGCCTAGACTCCGGGTTGACTGCCAACCGGTGGCATATGATCTTGGGGTCCACCCCCGGCATATCCCCAGGTCCCCACGCGAAGATCACGCGGTAGGCGGCGAGCACTTCCACCAAGTGCCTCCGCTGGCTCGTCGTCAGGCTCGCCCCGACCTTAACCTTCCGCTCGGGTATCTGCGGGTCGAGCGGCACTTCCTCGACTTCCTCGGCGGGCTCGACCTTCGGCCGAGCTTCCAGCTTGCGCATTTCCTCCTGCGCATGCACGACCAGCGTCTCATCCCTTGGTAACTTCTTCGTGATACGGACGTAGCACGATCGAGCTAACTTCTGGTCTCCCCTCGCCACCCCGATCCCGCACGGAGTGGGGAACTTCATGCACAAGTAGTACGGGGAGATCACACATTCCAAGTCCTCAAGGCCGGGCCGTCCCAGAATCATGTTATGCGCACAGTTGATGCTCACAACCATAAACTCCATCTTTAGCTTGGCCTTGTGCGCACCATCCCCTACTATCACGGGCACGGCGATAACTCCCTCGGCCTCGATGGAGTCCCCCGTGAATCCGGAGAGAGGAGTGCGCACAGGCCTTAAGTCCTTGCGGTTCAAACCGAGGTCTTGGAATGTTTTCTCATACATTATGTTGACTGAGCTTCCCGTGTCCACCAAGGTGCGGTGTACTATGGCGTCGTTGATCTCTATCTTCACGACTAAGGCATCCCGGTGGGGACTCGGCGTGTTCGGAAGATCCTTCTCCATGAATTGGATCTGCTCTCGTCTTCCGAGCTTGGGCACCGGCGCCTGATGGACCTTGGCGACAAAGGCCATGTGCTTCCACCTCTTCCTCTGAGCGACGGAGTCCCCGCCAATGTTTCCCCCATGGATAAATCCCACTGGATATCCTTGGGCTTCGTCTTCGTCTAGATCGTCGCACTCCCGCCCGATGTGCCTCTTCTCGGGGTTCCTTGCCTTCGTCGCCACTGCGACTGGCTCAGTCGACTTCCTCCAAGTTCTTCCTTCCGGCGGCCCCCGGGAGGGGGTAGCCGCATCGTCTCGCCGAGGCGGTCCTCGGGCGATGAGTCGCTGCATTTCATTCTGAAGAGTGAAGCATTCCTTAGTGTTATGAGTGTTGTTACGATGGTACTCGCAATACTTGGCTCCGCTGGACATAGACCTGTGCAAACAAGGGTCGGCCCGTCCGGCCCGCCCAGCCCGCCCTTTAAAATGGGCGGATATGGACAATCTTTAATACCCACATGGGCGGGCCGGCCCAAGCCCGAATTGTATTTGGGCGGATATGGAAATTACTTTTAGCCCATCCGGGCCAATAGGCCCGCCCATATTCATTAGTACATTTAATTCATTACTACGTATTAATTATCTAGACATTATAAATTTTAAAATTTTCTTTAACTCATGTATAATAGTTCATATCACTCACCCTTCTTAAACAAAGATCAATAGTGTTTTGATGAATCTGTATTATGGGTGTATTAATTATGTAACAATATTTTTATTATGTTTTCTATGTAAATGTGGCGAGTGGTAATTTTATTTTAAACATTTGAAAAGGAGTTCAATATTTTCTTTTTGATTTTTTTTGTGTAAAAAAAATGTACTTGATGTTTTATCCGGGCCGGGCGGCCCGGTGGGCAGTTCAGCCCGCTAAAGTGGGCGGGTGTGGGTAAAGAGTTTAGCCCATCAAATCTGGGCCGGGCCAAGCCCGCCCATTCAAATGGGCTAATAATTTGTATCAAGCCCGGCCCAGATCCGGCCCGGATCCTTATTTGCACAGGTCTAGCTGGACACCACGTAAGCCTCTACGTGGGGGAGCGGGGAGAGGGCAAGCTCTCGACCCGTCCCCACGGGGACGCCCACGGAGTACACTCCGGCCGAGGGCGTCCTCGGGCCCGCGGTATAGTCTTTCTTCTTCTTCCTCTTCTTCGCGGTCTCTCCCGAGTCCGCTGGAGCTCGCTTGGATGGCGCGGCCTCAGGGTCTGGGGCGTCGTCGAACTCCTTCCTCACCTCTCCGCGGGGAAGGGCTGCTTGGAACATGGCAACCAACGCTTGGTCATCCGCCCCGTGCACGTCTCTGGCTTCCTTCTCCCACCGGACTATGAAGTCGCGGACCTTTTCTCCCTTGCGGATGCATATGTTGAGCAGGTGGGAGTAAGGTAGCCTCTGCCTTCGGTTGGCCGTGAAATGCGTCAAGAACTTCTCCGCCAGCGTATCCCAATCGTCAATGGTTCCCTTCGGGAGCCGGTTGAACCAATCGCACGCGTAGCCCTCCAGCGTCGCGAGAAAGCATCGGCACTTGACCTCGTCCGGGGCTGCCGCCGCTTCCATAGGAGCGTAGAACTTAGACAAATGATCTTGGGGGTCCACCGTTCCGTTGTAGGCCTTGATCTGCCACGGCCGAAAGTTTGCCGGTAGTGGAATCGACATGACCCTCGGAGTGAACGGGGTCACCGTCCGCAAGATGGGCTGGCTGTAGGGATCTCTGGTCTCCACTCGGCGCTTGAGCTCGGCAATCTCACGAGCGAGCCGAGATACCCCTTGGTCAGAGACCTTCATCTTCTCAGTTCTCGTCGGGCTATGGCGACGCTGGGTGCGCTCGTCCCGCCTCTCTCCGCTCCGCTCGGGCCTCGCCGAGCGAGCATCCGATGTTGCAGACTCCTCAGCATGCCTCCGCCTACCTTCGTTTATTTGTCGGCGGAGGTCGCCCAGGTGACCTTCCGGTCTGCGGTCGAGCCTGTTGAAGGCCGACACCCGGGTTTCTTCGCCTCCCAAGCGTCTAAAGGCTGACACTCGGCCTTCGCTGGATTCATCCTCTTCTTCTTCCGGGACGTCCTCCACGATCACCTCCTCAATCGCCGGGGCCTTGCAGGCCCTCCTTCTACTCCTCCGGGTCTTCTTCCCCTTGTGTTGGGAAGTGGCAGCGTGTTCGGCGTGGGGACCGGGCGGAGCTTTTCCAGATCCGGCGCCGGGCACGTTTCCACCCATGGCGGAAAGTGCCGCAACGGCCGCCTGAAGCTGCTCCGTGGTCACCCCCAGGCCGAACAGCGCCTGGACCGCGTCAGGAGTCGAGCCGATGCCTCCCGTGCCGTTGCTGCTGGCCGGCGCGTTCTCTTCGCCGCCGACGTGGCTTGTGGTAGGGACGTTGCTCCTTGTTTGCACCATTCTCGCTTCCGGGAATTAACCTACGAGTATGTTCCTCTCGCTCTCAATGAAAGCACCAATTTGATGGCTATAAACCACCGAGAATAAAGAATAATATAAGTTTTAGAGAGAGAGAATGCAAAGTAGGAGTTTATTTTTTCTCAACTTGGATCCATTACAATGAGGGGTCTCACCCCTTTTATAGGGGATACAATACATATAGTCAAAGTTTCTCTGATCGAGGTTCGTCGCCTAGCGGACGTCATCTCTGTTATGCATTGTCCCTTTCATCCCATCGCTATCGCGCAGTCAACGTGGCCGGTCGCTATCCGGCGGTCGCTATCACGGTCCCCAGCCAAGCTCGCAGGCCGAGCCGAGCCCATAGGGCGAGCCGAGCTCATGGGCCGAGCAGAGAAGATCTTCCACGTGGCTGATGGGGCCCGGCTGATGTGCCTTTTGGAGTCGTCCTCCATCAGCCTTATATCACACACCCCCCCCCCATCCAATAAACATCTCCGTGTCTTTGGTTGTCTTTGCTACCCAAATCTCTCTGCCACAGCACCCCACAAACTAGCCCCACGTTCTGCGTGCTGCATTTTTCTAGGCTATCCTGAGTCTCAACGTGGCTATCGGTGTTTGGATCTCTCCACTCAGAAAATTATTGTCTCCCGACATGTTACCTTTGATGAGTCCACTTTCCCATACGCACCCCCACAATCTCCCTCTTCTTACGACTTCCTCGACGCCATGGAGGACAGCATAGCCCCACACTTCCGCCACCTCCAAAG